GGCCCGCCGAAAGGGGCGGCTCTTGGGCGCTAACCCGCGTTTCGTGCCCGGGGCTCCGTGATTCACTGCTTTTCAACGAGGGTTTTAGATCATCCTCACCTCGTGGTCTGACTGACCTTTCCCCACCCTCTGTAATTCTGTTCTCCAGCTTCAGAAACGTCTCTTGCATGTCTATCCCAACACATCCAACAAGACTGGCTCAATTCTGGCACCGAAAGCAAGTGGCTGGTCCCACTATTGCTGCTTCTCCCTAGCTAGAACCCTTCCCACTTCCAGCTGGCATGGGCATCATGGCCATGTCTTGTACAGGGCTGTGGCACTGCTTAGAAGCCTGATGCGTGCTGGAAAAGGCCGAGGTTGTACAGGGAGTGGGGTAACAATGAAACAGGCAAATCAAATTCAATCTAATATTTGAGTCCATACACTGTTCATGTTCACTTTTGCTAATATTGACTTCCCTAGTGCCCTCAGACTGGAACTGAGCTTTGGCCAAAGAATTTGGTGCTAGCTTATAGAAACTTATTCTGGTTTTGATCTCTGGTATTTTACTTCAAAGTATCAGGGTTTTTTACTGTTAAAGTACCTACAGATGTGCATAATCTATATCTGTTAATTATTACTTCATGCTGCCCCTAGCTCATTTATGCACTTCCCTTTTCTGATTCAGAATAAAGGAGCACAAGGATCAAGCAGATCTGGCTAAGCAGGAAAAGAGAAGAGAAGGGGAACGAATACAGCAATCAAGCCAATTGTACCAACTGGAAATTCAGAGAGATAAAGAGAAGGATCAGGAGAAAAAAGTTGAATTCCAGAGGCAGCATCATGTAAGTAGCAGGAAAGCAGACAGTTCAAAATACATATTTCACCTTGACTGTAATGGTTGGACTCAGCCCACAAATAAACAGCATTGTGGGTAACAGGGTCTTTGCTGACAGCTTTAGTAGCCTGGGATCAAATGCCTACCCTGCCAGTTGCAGGCTATGTCTTTCCTCTGTGCTTTTGAGAAAGACCTCTTGTAAGTTTTAATGAGGCACCTGAGCTTTGACTGTTTTACAATGGAAAAGTCTGCAAGAGTCAGCAAGGAGATTGTCCTTGACTTGAGAACTGCATTTAGGTTCCATGTACTTGCTCTGTTTTAAGGCCATTTTTCTTTGTTAGGGAGAGGGAATAGCTTGAGTATGACAGTATCTTATAAACTTGATGACCTGAGTTCTGTTTCCCAGCCAATACCTGCTTGAGCAGGGAAACTGAAGTGGAGGTACTGTGATGATTCATTACCATGTGAGGGAGTAAAAGGAGAGGATTCCCATTAAAACCCTACTTGCTTTTTTTCCTTTCATACTCCTCACCCCAAGTACACAAATTTCCTCCCATTTCCCCTCAGCCTTGTATGTGCAACAAAAGCTATACATACTGCTAAGCTGTACAAGTGCCATTTCTGAGTCATTACAAAATGCCTTATTTTGATGGTCTACAGACTTAGTGTTAAAGCCCTTCAGAGTCTGCATCATATGAATGATAGGATGGGAACAGTACAGCTGGAGCCACTGGGAATGTAGAGGAGAGAATATAAAGATGCTATAAGCCTGGAGCCACAACCACATACTAATTTTACTTTTGCTGTGGTTTGTGATAAGTAGATAATAAAAATTTTCTTTTATCTCTGGGTTTCTATCTTCTGTAGCTTCTTCACTGATGTAAAGAACTCCTTATTCCTGGCAAGCCTGAAGTATTTGCTAGAATTTGTTTTTAGTTAATGTTTCCAAAATGCGGTTCTACATGACAATAAACATTTTCCATTTAAACAGGAATATGTAGCTGAACAGAAAATATTTAAAGCTGAAGAGAAACAAAAAGAAGACAAAGATGATGATCGGATTAAGGCTTATATTAAAGGAAAAGAAATGATGGCTGATCTGACAAGAGAAAAATATGCGGAGACCAGCAGGTGAGTCCAGGGATAGTTTTCAGTGATAAGATTCAAACTTGCAGTTTCTTTTTGTGACAAACAGTGTTCTCAGTAGTTATATAATCGAGATCACAACTTTGATGCAAGCAAATTTTCTGTAATTAAAACTTGGAGTAGAAAGTGCAGAAAAAATGCCTACCAGTTCCAGTAGTTATTGGTGCTGTTGGGGTGGAGGTAGGATTGTTGGTGTTATTAGAAGCAACAGGTACCAATTGCCTCTCATAATCTGAGCAGATGTCCTGGGATGTTACAGTAGCTCATGTTCTCCTGCAGGTTGATAGAGGAGCGTAAGGACAAAGCTTTTGAACAACTAAATGCACAGATGAATGAGAAATTTAAGATTGAAGATGATCGTCTTGCTAGAGGAGCTGCAGAGGTAGAAGTTGAGTACCAAATAAAAGATAAAGAGAAAGAAATGAAAAAAAAGGCTGCTCTTGAATCCATTGAAGAAAACAGAGTCACTGTGGTAAGAAACGGGGGCTGTCCTTGTTCCTCTTTCTGTCTCTTATTCCTACTTGTACGTAGGAATAGTGTTTGGAAATGCCGGTTTCTCGCAGAGCCTGCAGTGAGACACACATGCACCTTCTCACCAGTTGCTTTTCATTTATCATCTAGAATTTTAGAACTAAATCTTTAGAAAGGTGCAGGCAGCATATCTGGTGATCCCCTCTTCAAAAAAATTAGACTGGGAAGGCTCTGTAATTTGCAATTTGTGCAAATTGCACTGCTTACCCCAGGTGAGGAGCCTGGCCCAGACCACAGCTGCTGACTCTGGTGCCAAGCATCAGCAGGCTTCAGCAAGTCTGCTGCCACCTTTCCNTCCCCAAAGCTCCCCCGGCTGCAGACGGCAAGAGGGGCTGTTCCTCCCTAGGAACGCAGTGGAGAGAACTGACCTGAACGCAGCGCAGGTCCAGTAACCTCCAGGGGCAGCGGCTCGGGAAGAACGAGGGGCTGGCAGAGTCCTGCCTGCGGGGCGCATCGGTGCGCCTTTACTTCTGCTGAGGCTGTCTCCACCTAGGACAGAGGGAGAGGATCAGGTCCGATGCCTGCCGGGAGACTGATCAGCAACGGCATCTGGAAAACAGAGTTTGACACCGGTGTCACTCCAAGAGAAAACCTCCTTACCTTTCATATATGGCCTGTCAGTCTGCTGCAAATCACACAATTTCTACAGAACATCACCCTGTACAGAGTGCCACTCCCTTCAAAACGGGTGGTGACACTTGAGAGAGCATTTCACAAAACCTAGACATCAACTAGAAAAGCTGCATTTACACCTTCACACGTGTATGTGAGCCTAATGCAACAAAGAAATCCTAGTCTTGCCAACAAATCAAAAACTTCTACGACAGAACTATTTCAGTAAATATGATGAGTGTGCAGGACATGGAAGTAAGGCACAGTCTGTGCTCAAACTGCTGCCTCATCCAGCCAGCAGAATGGCTTTACCAATATTCCTCTTTTCATATTGGGAATGGTCTCTGCTCCCTGCTGTTCTAAGAATCATGCCCAAGTACTGCCTGGGAAGTGTGTTACTACAAGCCAAGCCCACACATGCACACAAACAGGCAAGGGCACGTACAAACAGTCCAGGCAGTCGGTGCCCATCCAAGTACATGCACTGCTCTTAGGCAGACTACAGATACAGACACCCTGTCTTAGCTCTGGTGTTTGGGATGGGGGACTAAGTAACAGTAAGGATAACTTAGTATTGTTACCAGGTCAGCATTCAAATTCTGATACACATTTGACTATTGGATTTTCTGGTATCAAGTAACCTTCGTATTTTATGCTCCCTCTGCACAGCACATCATTGGAAAGAAAAGGATGTTCTAGATGAGTTTTTCCTTCGAAAAGAAAGAGATCTTCGCCAGGTCATTGTATTGCCAAAAGCACAATGGGAAAGGATTCAGGGCTGCATTAGAAAATGCAGCCCTGATGAGAAAAAAGAACAGGAAGAGGTAGACTTGGACTCCAAAGATGCTGGAAAAGAAGACGCACGCAATGCCACTCTGGTAAGTACAAGATACATTTGTAAACAAGTTGCTTTTGTATATACAAAACCACACATAGTAACATTTCTAGCTATACTCCCTTTGTTTAACATTTGCTTTTGAATATGTATTTCAGCTAAATGCCATTTAAATATGTTTAACACCTAACTTAAATAAACATTTGTATTTTTTTACTTAAAGCTAAAACGTAAAGTAAAAAAAAAATCCAAAATTTAAGTGTGATTTTTAATTTTGTCTGCGCTGTAGAACCTGATAAAACAGAAACTTCAAGCCAAAAAATTACGTGAAGAAAAGGAAGAGGAAGAAAGAAAGTTACTTGATTTGGAAGAAGCAAAGTTCCAAGCAGCAAAACGGAAGGAGGTTATTGATCGTGCAAAAACCTACCTATTTTATCAGGACGACAGAATGAGACAGTTCCATGTCTGTTGACAACACTTATATTTTACATTGAAATTGTACTGAATGTCTCTAAAGACTTCTGAACATAAAAATTACTCTAAATGTTCTCTTGCAGAGTGCACTTCTACTTACTAAGGTCCTAAACGAAAGAGATGCTCAAGTTGAATTTCTAAAGTCAAGATTAGTTGATACCAAAAAGAAGGACTATGAAGAAGAGCAACGTCGATTTAAAGAATACATTCTCAGTGAGCAAGAAAAAGCACATCAGCATTATATGAATAAACAGGCACTATGGAAAGAGCAGTTACAACAGTAAGCATCAAAAGCAACACTACTTCATTATTTACTTAAAATCTTCTCAAAACACATTCTATGAGGTTTTAACAAAAACTTGCTAATAGTTTCACAAATGCCATTATTTTAAAAGAAGATCACAGAAGATCTTTCCCAAAAGGGAAAAGCTGTTGCATTTTTAGTTGCCAATAGTCTGTATGCAAAATTGCCTCTTGGAAGCATCAGCAGGTTTTAGTCAAATCACTGTTCAAATGTTGTTAATGAAATTTAAGTGTACTTTACTCAGTTTTTGTTCCAGACAAGGAAAAGTTTAAATTAGATTTTCCATTTACCCATAATGAGCTTCCAGACTGCACAACAAGAGAAGGCATTACTGTAATTTCTAATCCTTCTCTCAGGTTTTCTGTAAATCTTATGGAGCGGTCCTCAGTGGTATTTATAGGACTGGCCCTGGAGATGTGATAAAAGGAACCGAATTTCCCAAGGCAGGGAAAGGGTTCAAAGTCTGGTCTTACATATTCCAGGCACAATACATAGATCCTTGCAGAACTTAGTACAGAACATTACCAGTTTAAGCTGCTGCCCACGTGCCCAGAAGAAACACAGGTATGGTGGGTCATACTGGGGAAATCTTGTTCTCCAAGGATGCTGCAGATATAGGCCAGAGCATTGCCAGTGCAGTGGTGCTAATGAGTCATCCAGCTAAAACTTCTCACCACGACACTGCAAACTGTGAGCATGCCATGTAGCTCATTTCTGACCAGGGTTACCATTACCAACAATCATGCTGTTATTCACCTCTGATATTCTACCTACCTTCAACTCACAGTATCACATTCTTCACTGCAAGGTACCTATGGTCGTGCAGCTCATTACTTCATGCAGTTCCTAGACAATTTATTCACCTTTGTCTGATTCAGAATAAAGGAGCGTGAGCATCTGGCAGATCTGGCCAAAGAGGAAAGAAAAAGAGAAGAGGAAGAATTACAGAGATCAGTCCAACTGTACCAACTGGAAACTCAGAGACAAAAAGAAAAGGAACACGAGGAAAAACTTGCACGCCGGAAGCTGTATCATGTAAGTAGCAGGAAAGCAGACAGTTCAAAACGTGCATTTCACCTTGGCTGTGGTGGTTGGACTCAGCCCACAAATAAAGGGATCTACTGGCAACAGGGTCTTTGCTGACAGCTTTAGGAGCCTGGGATCAAATGCCTACCCTGCCAGTTGCAGGCCATGTCTTTCCTCTGTGCTTTTGAGAAAGACCTCTTGGAGGCCCCTCCTTTCTTGTGTCTGAAGATGCTTTAATTGGTCTATGGTTAAAGATTTGGCTGTAGACATCAAGGAATATCTCCTTGAGAACTGGATTTAAGTTTCACATTCCTGCTGTTTTAAGGCCATTTTTCTTTGTTAGAAAGAGGAAATAGACAGACACTGAATGTATCTTTTTAATTTGATTTGATATTTATGATTGCAGAGGTTTAGGGATTTAGTCAAGACTTGCTGCCATCTCATTTCATCTTTAAAGGCATGCTTCTAAGGTACAAACAAGAACTGCCTCAGAGCAGTTCTGGCCAGCATGCAAAAGACAGTTGTTTTTTTACATAAAAGTATAGAAAACTCTGTTGTGCTTTGGATTAAGCTCTTAGACAGGGGTAGTTTTGGATGAGGTGGGGCAGGAGCAGAATGATCTGTGTGGGTGGTGGTTGGACCATCCCCCTGCCCATGTGTGTCAGTGGGAGCATGGACAAGGCTCTCTGCATTGCACAGCAATTTGTTTGTGTGATGCACCAGAGAAGCAGCTGTTTGATGCTCAGTCTGTTTGATGCTCAATTCCATTCCCCACCCTCACATTGCCTCCTCTTGATGCATGTTGGAATAGGGAGGCAGAAGGAAGTGGAAGTATTCCTTTCTTGTCTTCTCTCTCCTTTCCTGAGGATCCCTTTTCTCTCTTCTGTTTTTGAAAGAAACTTGAGGAGGGGGAACAGGGAGTGATTCCTGTAAGCTGCCACCCAAGGTGCAGATATTCCAAACATCATCTGTTACATCAGGACCATTTTGCCCATACAGGCGTATCTAAATGACCAGAAAATAATCAAAGCAATAGAGGAACAAAACCAAATGGAAGAAGATGAGCGGATCAAAGCTCATTTCAAAGCAAAGGAAATTATTGCCCAGATGAGAAAAAAGAAAGAAGCTGAAATGCGTAGGTAGGTGCAATGCTAGAGTATAAATCATAAATGATCTAAAAATTATACTGTAGTTGTTTTCAGATCACTTACACTAATGAATCAACAGTTATTCTAACACCTCTACTCATAGGGCAAACAGGAAATTCAGGAGAAAAAGGAAATTTTTTCACAGGTTCTTTAGTAAGAATGTCAGGGACCAATCTCACCTTTCAAAGTACAGAGGCTTATGAAAGTGCAAAGCTTTGCACCAGTGTATTGTGAAGAGTGATTTTCATATGGCCTGCCAAATCTCCACCTCCTCAACAATTAAGACAATTAAGATACTTGATGAAAATATTTTTGAGTATAAGCTATTATTCTCTGAGTCAGCTCAAGAAAAATTATTTGACTTCTCAACAAGGCCCAAATATTAATTAACAACATCATTTTCTTAAGGGGAAATATTTTATCAGTTTAACATTAAGGGTACCACGTTATGATACCATTGAGTCAATCTAAGAGTTTTCTTCCCTTCCTGCTTCTGGCCAACATTCCCCTCCTGCTGGGAAGCTGCTTGCTGGAATCCTTACTGAGTGATGCAGCTCATTACTGCAACAGAAACTAGTGATACAAGAACACTGGGAACATTTATTTGCTAAAGCAGATAATGATAATATAAAAATAAACCAAACAGGAGGAACAGGAGGAGATCACGAGTTGGGTGAGTGGGCCAGCCTGTGTGTTCAAGAGGACAGAACTCTAGAGCCAGAATTGCTGAGTTTGGTAGCTTCAGGTAGACCCAGATGTGTTGCCCTGGTATGTTATGGAAGCTCATGTTCTTCTGCAGACAAGTACAGGAACAACGGGACAAAATCATCAGTCAATTAGCTGAACAAATGAGTGAGGCATTAAGGAAGGAAGATGGTCGACTGGCTAGAGATGCTGCAAGAAAAGAAGCTGAAGAAGAAAAAAAATGCAAAGAGAAAGAAGCAAAACAAAAGGCTGCCCTTCAATCTATTACTGAACACAGAGCCACTGAGGTAAGAAACTTGGGCTGATCTGACTTCTGCTTACCCCAGGTGAGGAGCCTGGCCCAGACCACAGCTGCTGACTCTGGTGCCAAGCATCAGCAGGCTTCAGCAAGTCTGCTGCCACCTTTCCTGGAGTCCCCTCTCCCTTTCCCCCTTCTGTGTTGGGCACACCTCTGCCAGGGCTGCTGGAAACCCTGGCCTTGGGCACTGGGCAGCCACAGTGTCCGTGCTGATCGGAGCGCTCATTCAGGGCTGCTTCTGCACGGAGATACAACTTCCAGCTGAGCAGGCCAGCTCCTTGTTAACTCCTGTGTGTTTTGTGAACTGCAGATGAATTTAAAAGAGGAAAAGAAGAGAGAGGAAAAAGAAGAGGATGAGAAGGATCGTAATCAGTGGATGACAGAAAATGACGTCTACTTGGACATGGAAAAAGCCAAGAAACAAAGACAGCGTGATGCAAGCATGGAAATACAGAAATTTCAGCTCCAGCAAATGGTAAATAGAAGAACTTTATACTGTCAGCTCCTTCAGAAAGAAGCACACTTTTAAATCCATAGTACTAGACCTATTGGACAGAAGAGAAGAGGGGGGGTGAGAGAGAAAGATTGCTGTGGGTGTGACGTACCTGTTTTGTTTGGTTTTTACCTGTGTGCACTGGAGCTGCTGATGTTGGAGAGGTGACTGTATCTATGGGCCACAGGAGCCTTGTTTGTGGAGTGAGAAGGTTACTGCTGAAAACTTGACAATGCATGATACACATTTCAGAGGTTTATGGGCCTCCTCTTGGAGCAGTAGAACAGAAGCCTCTTCCAGGTGGACTTGGCCCATATGAGTCAGGCAGGATTACTGTGAGGGCTAGTAATAAGAGATCAACAATGACAGATCACATCCTGTCCTGTGCCATTAGGGCATTTTTTCCACCATGCACTGCTGTCCTCCTGTATCTTCTGGGCAGGTCACCAAAGAGCAGCAGCTAATGCTGATGTTCACTCAGCTATTCAATGCACTCTTTCTGGGGAGATAAGGCAGGGGAGAGAAGTGGGGAGGGATGATAAGTGCCAAGTTTCAGCTAAGGATGCCACAGACCTTCTGTAAGCTTTTACCCTCTCTCAGCTCTACAGGATGGTGATGTTGAGAACAAAATACTAAGCTTTGTTATTCCCTTTTCTTCATCAGGCTGAAAAGCAGGCAAGGAAAGAGCAGGAAAAGCAAGCAGACTTGGACTACAATGCTCAGAGAGAGGCTATTGCACTTTATAAAGAGCAAGAGTTTCAGAAATATGCAAAGGAATTAATTGAAACAGAATCTAAGACGACACATCATCTTTATCCTCTTCTCAAAGTATGTGAAAATGGAAGAGGACTTGGACATAGGCCATTTTTCTGAGAGAAGAAGAAATAAATACTAGTTTCCAAACATATAATTCTATGTTGGGACCTAGTTACCTTGTTGTAACTGTAGTGCTGCTCAAGAAACAAAAAAATGAAGCAATGTTTTTGTTTAAAAAAGTTTTTTAAACTGTCCACCAAGGAAAGGCAGAAGCCATTTTCAAGTTAAATAAATGTTTTTCAACCATACAGGCAGAGTTAACTGTAAATTATTTATATCAAATACATACCATGAATCTAGACTTCCACTTGAAAAAATAAAAGATTGCCATATAACTGGTTATATTCAAACATCCCCAACCTATTTCATGAATGTTAGTTTATTAAACTTGAGACAGGAATTCATATTATATAATTGTCACTGTAAGCCATTCCAGCCAAAAGCTCACTACTTCTGTTATATTTTTAATATTCATTGATCTAAAAATTCACTGTCCCAGGTTACAACACAGGGGACAAAAAAAAGAGAACATATGTTAAAGTTAGAACAGCTAGGGTGTGCAGTTTTGGTAGTATTTTGCAACTATGTCTGAAAAACAAATGTCATGCTATAAATCAGTTTTATTACATGAAAATATTAATGTAAATTGATTCCAGCCCTTAAAAAGTCACCAAAGAGACAAATAGGTCCCAATAGCTGTAAATAGGGCCTACAAAATCAGCACATAAACAGGACACAACATAGTTGGGCTGTTCCTTCAAAAAGACTAACAGCAATTCAGGCTGTAAACAGATGTGATCTATTAAATAGGTAAACAGATGTGATCTAAAATTGCCTCTCAGATTCCTCAGCAATTTTACTCACCAACACCCAAGCCACAGATACATTTCCCTCCTTAAGCTTAGGTTTCTTTCATTTCCTTGCCTTGGAAATTAGGGATTCCTGCAATGACTTCCTCCACCAGGACCCTGGCCTTTAAACAGGGCATCCCTCTAGCCTGGTGTCCGCTGGAAGCAAAGCCCAAGAAACCTGAAACTTTGCTTTGTTGCACCCCACAGCTGCCAGTCTCTGCTGGCCAGACCAGAAATAATACATGTCCTTCAAAAAATCCAAAAAAGGACTTTTGCCAATAATTTAGTTTTGAACGTGGGTCTTTGGTGTGTCCTCAAGTTTCTTGGCCTATCTGCCGAAAGCAGCCAGGCCTTGGAAAAAGCACAGGGCTTCGAGGAAGATGCGAGCCCATCCTGGAGGCACGGTACCTCCAGGGAGCTGAGGGCCAAGCCGAACTGGCGGTACGTCCCTACACTGTGCAAACCCGGCTGTAAGGGCGGTGCTGTCCTTCCCGGGGGCAGCAGTCAGCGCCTCGAGAAGTCTCCCAGGCAAGGCAAGGGGTGAATCCCCGGAAGGAGAAGGAGGCCCGACCTCCTCATCCCGCTTCCAGAGNGTTGAGAACAAAATACTAAGCTTTGTTATTCCCTTTTCTTCATCAGGCTGAAAAGCAGGCAAGAAAAGAGCAGGAAAAGCAAGCAGACTTGGACTGTGATGCTCAGAGAGAGGCTGCTTTCCATCGGGATCAAGCATTTCGGAGATAAAAGGTAGTGAGTAACTGAATCGGTGCCATTACTGGATGTAACTTCTATTCTCCAAACATTAAATGAAGGAACAAGATGTGGGCTTCCTAATTAGGACAACTGCAAGAATGGTGGAGTGGATAACCTGCAGTACTAAAAACAGTAAAAATGGTGGGGGTGAGTGGGTGAAGATGGTTGATGCAATGCCCTCCTGCCTCATAGATGAGCCCCCAGCTTGCTCAGGACTGAGAAAACACTTGGCATTTTGCCATGACTTTTAAAGCCTGCTTTGGCCCTCAAAGCTCTGCCTGAGGGCAGGGCCAAGAACTCTCCTCAGGGCCAGCACAGACTGTTATTGTCTTGGTCAGTCCTGCTGTGGTCTGGGCAGCTGTGCAGTTTTTGGATAGAAGAACATGGCTGGGTGGAGCTACCTGACTCTGTACCCATGTCAATTAGCATGGCCCATTATTCTGTAATGTGAGCCAAAGCACAGTTAGTAGAAACAATGAAGACTTGTTTCAGAACCTCACTTCTGACCTAAAGTAAAAGACTAACATTGCTACACTATCAACTAAAAGTCACACAGAGTTCTTTCCAACTATCTTGGAGTAGTTAATTTTGAAAATTACATATTACAAAAAGAGACATGGCAATTAACGTGTAAGATTGTCCCTCAGTACTTTTTTCCTTCCTTCACTAATGAAAAATTTATTTCCCTTCTCTCTGAGCCAGTGCTCATTTTATTACATCAAGCTTTTTTTCAGCAAGCAGAAAGAATGGAAACTTTTGTAAAAGCCTTTTGATGGCAGAAGCTGGAGCCTTAAGAAGTATTGACTACAGCAGGAGTGGTGCTGAAACCTGCAGAGCTCGATAATGCTCCAAATGAATCCCTAAGTGCAAATTTGCACATGCTCACTACTATGCAATTGGTGAGTTCAATGGGCTTTTAGTCTCCTTGCACAGCAGCAAGAAACAAGGTGGATTGCAGCCTCATTTCCTACTCAGCTTCCAGAAATGTCCTCTTCTGCAGATTATGTACATCTATATTTGAAGTCTACAGCCTGCTTCCATCAGGCTTCTACTCCTTTTACTTTGAACATCTACAGAAAACCCATCAAACCCATTAAACTCCAGTACCAGAAAACAACTCTTCATTTCAGTACATCTAGAATAAAGTGGGAATTATGTGTATTTTTAAAGCATGTTGGCTAAATATAGATTTAGTTACCCAAATTCAGCATGAAAAAAATCCAGCAGCAATCATGATCCCAATTTATTCTCTTGACTCTGAGGTGCACATACTTTGTATGCTTGTTTTAAATAACTAATTCTAATTAGTAATTTTCTGTAAAACCTCTGTAAAGCATAGTATGATGACACTAGATCAGAATGGCCACAGGTGGTGCAATGCTGCTGGTAAAAGGTGTCCTGTGTAGGGCAGGAGGCTGGTCTAGCTGCTCACCAGAGTCCTTTTCAGCTGCCATCTAAACATAGGGAGATTAAAATACAGGGAGATAAACTGCAGCTGATAAGAAACAAAACTCTTGACCTGGAAGAACCTACTCATTGAGAGGTACCTTCATTTAATGCCTAGGGCCACTCTTGTGTAGTTATTAGCTGGAGTCATCCTTCCTGAAGGCATTTAGATGTGCAGATGATGCTTAGGGACATGGATTCGCTAGTGTTGGACTTCAGTACTGGGTTAACAGCTGAACTTGATCTTAAAGGTCTCCTCCAGTCTGAATTCTATGAAGTTTTAATTAAAAGCTAGCAAATCAGAAAATGCTTTGAGAAATACTTTGACTAGTAAACTCTAATTATTGGTTTTGTTCAAAAAAGCATCCTCTCGGATATTGTTCTGCTTCAGGACATTGCAGCAGGTGAGAGTTATGATAGATATTAGCCTTATTTGAAGACCAAGACCTTAGAAATGCAAGGCAACCCCTCAGAGGGACTGAAACTAAGACCTTAAATCCAGCTGCATTTTTTCCACACCTGTGATCCAATTCTGGAAAGATAACAGCAACTATAGTTTGAACAGGTGTGCCTCCAGTGTCTGACATGGCACTCTCCCAACAGTATTTCAGCTCACACCTGTGTGGCAGTGCAAAGCTAAGAGTACTGTTCTCATGGATCTAATACAACTCCTACCTGGGAAATGGAAGAGAACAGCTCTCTACAACGCCTAACATCCTAAGGGAATTTGAATTAACTAACTGTTCAGCTCTTTGCTGTTAGGTGGTGTTCCAGGTGGCCTTACTAGGTCTGTGCAAGTTCTTTTTGCATGTCTTTGCTACCAATTAGCTCTGAGGAAGTTTTAAGAGGATCCATACCTGGAAACAAATGGCTCACGAACAGAAGAGCTGGCACCATGGGACTGTTAAGGATGAACATTTTCACATCCCAATACAGACTTGCTCTATACTTCTGAAAAAGAAAAAAAAACTGTTCAAAGCTTCCTTGAAACATGTTCCTTGTCATGTTAGGTCAAATAATTTACTGCTTCAACAGCTAAATTCTTTCAGATGTCTGTTATTAACTTAGGCCTTCCTGTTACCTCTTGAATGGAAGAGTGCTGCAGCTAGTCTGTAATCTTCCTCCTTGTTCTGGCAGTGCATCCTTGTTTCTGATACTGATCTTCCTTCCTGTTCTGGAGGGTATTTTTTAAGAGACAGAAAATTCACTACCTCTGAAAAGCATGCAAAAATCCCCATAATCAGTGAAGGCTCAGATGGTAGAGGGAGGTAAAGGTGAGAGATTAGAGACCATGTGACACATTTTCTTTGGAATTATCATATTTTTTTTCTGTTTAGACTGAGTCGTGGTATAGGCTTTGTTAAGCCTGTAATGTGTGAAGTCATTGCTTTCATACTACTGCACTCCCACCACTTTAACCTAAATTTCTTTTTGTTTTGGTATATCATGGCTTTTTTATTACTAGATATTTAAGTGATACATGAATGGCTCAAATGTGTCCTCTGATCTGGTAAACCAGTCTCTAATAAGCAGTCTTAAAGCAGAGCTGTTAGCTTGCTGACACTATTTTGTATAAACCAGCGCAACACTTTGTTTTTCTGTGGATTGTCTCAGCTCCAGATCATTAGCCAGAGAAATTAACAGTTCTGGTGGGTACTGAAGGGCTTTAACATCAGCACTGCAGGTCCAGGAAAATTCAACACTGCATCTCTGATAACATAGTAATTGCACCCCCCATCCCCAGTAAGTAGCATCTGGACTGACTCCTTTTCTGTGTAAAAGGAAAATAAGCAAAGATTAGAAAGAAAAAGCAGCATGTACTGAAGTGTGTGTCACTGAGCAGACCAAGAAAAATCCAACAACTGACACAGTGCACAAGGGCAAAGTTTGGAACTATCTTTGGTAAAGCTATAAGTATTTCTGCATTAGTTTCAGCTACAATCTATCTGTGCATATACAATTCATAGAAGCTACTAATTATACACTTAAACTGTCTATTTTTTGTTTAGAAACGCATTTTACCACTACGGAAGCATCTGCAAAGGAGTAAGAAGCTAGCCACTCACTCCTCCCGAGTTCTGTGTGCCTGCAAAACCAATCAGTGCCTGAGAGCAGAAGCTAACTGTGGACCAAGTTACAAGACACGCTGTTTGCTGCAACCTGCCTTTACCTCAAGCTCAAGAAACAAGTGCTATAGCTTG